AACTATAGAATGGCAATTCAGATTAGATAGAAATCAGAAAAGTTAGAGGCTAAAAATGTGATTTTTATATCAGAGGTGAGCCTGAAGGGAAAAGGATGAAACATGGAATTGGAGTAGGCTGCGGAATAAATGTTCATAAAGAAATGGAAACATGAATGCAGTGAGATTATCAATTAGTGTGGCAGTGCAGGGGGAGATGAGAGTATGTCTCTGAATAAAAACGAGATAAATTGTGCATGTTCAAATTAAGTGGCAATAGGACAGTAAAGGACATATGGAAGACAATAGGAAAACATCCTAGATAATTTAGATTCTTAAAAATAATGGATTTCTTCCTTTATTTCTTTCTGTTTCTTTCTCTCTGCCTTCCTTCTTTCCTTCCTTCCTCTCTTTCTCTCTCTTCTTTCATTTGATACAATTCCTTAGGCTCTGAGATTCTCCGAAATCCCTCCCCCCACTAATTTCCCCTATGTTATTATGATAGTATAGTCCTTCAAAATCAATAGATAACTAGAAAGAAGACTTCCCGAAAAGGTGGGAAGAGATAGGATGAAGGGCACGGTATAGGGTGGTTCTTGGTCAAGATGGAGAATTGGATTTATGACAGAACTGTTTATGACACTGTTTCCATCTCTCTTCTGTGAGGGAGAGAACACTGCAGGCTGAGAACGTGAAGGGACATTTGGTCAGCAAAGTCAAGGACTGAAGAGACCAAAGATGTTTGAGAAAGTGGTGGAGAAAATGTCATGATGACCGAAGGCAGGGCTTGCTTGATGAAGAAGCACAGCTGAGCAAGGGGATCCAGCCGACTGCACAACTTCATTAAACTGTCGCTTCAATTAGATATCTGAGGGCCTGAGAATGATCTTCCAATTGTGACTGTTTTGTTTTTAAACAGCTTTATGTTGTAAGACAATCCTCATCACGAATTTTGCTTGGAGTGTGTACCCTCACGAGGCACAGGGGCCCTGAGCAGATCAAAGAATCACCAGCGTGATGGTCACTCTCGGTGTTCCAAAGCTTAGACACCACTGCCTGGTTCTGCACAGAGAAATTTTAATTTTTCAAAGGGAATTTAAGAAGTCATAGATATCTGTTTTCATCATCACAAAAAAAGAAAGATCAAAATGCTGGAGAACATTATACATTAGAACTGAATTCGGGGATCTCAACATACTTCCTTGGAGGAAAAAGCTGGAGAAAATGGGGTCAGAAAAGCCTTATCAAAACTTAGAAGAATTTTTGAAGAATTTATCTTCTCCGATAACAGTAGAATTCTATCTACTTTCACTCTGGCAGCCATCTAAATTTGCTTTCGTATGACTTTCAAACTATTTATAAGGAAATTAAAATTCAGTTAACCTATTTACTTACCATCAAATAAGTTTTTCTGTGGTCAGGTATGTTAAAATTATTATTTTAAAATGATTTGTTATCTTTCTTAAATATAAGGCCAGTCCTTTTACATTGTAAAGCAGTTCAAGCAATACAAATGTTATAAGTTAATGAATAAGATTTTCTGATTCCCCTCATAGTTAGCTTCACAGGGAATATTTTTGGTCTTCTGAGATGTAAAAAAAACTTAAGGTATTTATTTATATATACACATGTCTATGTATGGGACATAGTATTATATATCACAGTGTAATACAATTATTTTTAATTTGTATTTTCAACTAGAATGCAAGAGACCTATCACAATTCCAATACAAATGGAGCAGTTTTCTTTTTTGTAATAATTATGTACCATTTCATCAGCTGGAGGACACACAGTTTATTATATTATTCTTAGTTATTTTATCTTTTTCTTTTCCTTCCTTTTCACCTTCCTTCCCACTTTTCTTCATATATTATAGGCAGAAGTTAAAGAGCAAATTTAAGGTTGAGAAAGGATATAAAAATTCACATTTAACTAGTTAAGTTCTACATTTTCAGTTCTGTAAATATTTCAATGATATTATATTTATTTTAAGCATACTTAAAGTGTTATATTTATTACTCAATAAAAGTCTTTATAGATGTCTTATACATAGAGTGACAGGCCCTAGTGTATTAAAAAAAATATATGCACCAAGGTAAATCTCAAAATTGAATTAAAGTAGATGACAGACAAGAGTGAAGAAACTAGAAGGAAGAAAGAAGTTGTGAGCTAATTTTTTGTAATATGGACAAGTAGACATTTCTCAAAGCATGTGGGGGTAAGCTATTTTGAAAAGACACTAACATGGGTTAGAATTTGGCTTAGCAGAGCAATAATGACTAAGAAATATGGTTTTTAAGTTCTGGGGTCTATTAATGACATTTTGATTTTTTTGATCTTTCTATAACCACTTCAAGAGGAAAAGGCAGAGGGGTTGTCTCAAATTCTGGAATCGTTTCTCTGGAAATTTCTCTCAACTCTTCTTACAAATTTTGGTTCTAAATTTGTAAATCTGTCCATTGTATGCTGCTGCCCTCCCACATTATTTGCAAATATTTTAAAAAATATTTTTAGATTTTCTCAACTGAACTGCTAAGTAAGAACAGTTGAACCCATTCCTATAATTTCAAACAATGTTGACTGGGACGTGATGAGTTGCCATGGTGACTGTTAACTTCATTTGATTTGGTTTAATCAAAGCAAGATGAATTTGTACAGCTGGATACATACAAGTTAACAAAGCAAATAGCATGAAGTGTTAACAATTGAGAAATTTAGTTGTTTAACAATTGTTAAATAGAAATATTCAGTCAAACATTTTGTTCACATTTCTAATTATTAAAAATATAGCTGCTGGTGAAATGCAGGGTGAATGTTTAATGAAATGAGCCTCTGCCATCTTGTTTTTTAAAATTCAACAAGAATGTACCATGGAAACAGTCCTGCTCAGGTGCAATGGCAAATAGTTTTTATTTTATATGTAGGCCAAAGGACAAAACATGCTTATGCAACTCAAACTTTCATCCTTTTTCAGGCTCAACTTTAGCTCAGAAGTGTTTTGCCTGTACTTTTTCACTAAGAAACCTCTAGTGTATTACAATATGAAATTCACCATATCACCTATGAGAGTTTCTTAACAACAAAAAAAAAACATTTGCAGTCTAATTTGGTCTAATGATTAAACAAATACGAGGTTGGTTTGAACTTTAGCCTTTCTTTCCTTTTCCCACATGGTTTCCTGTGAAGTGGAAGGGTCTAGTGGAACTGGGTGGCCTTATTGACTCCCGTGCTTGCCTGGGAAGCTGTTCCCTCCAACCAAGCAGCTATAGTCCATGACCTCTTAGGGTTCTTAGAAGAGGAAAAACCAGAATGATACCTCTGTGGACAGCTAAAACCACTCTTGGACCCTCCTTGTTTCTCTGCATTCCAAAACCTTGCTCTCATTTTTATCAGAGTGAACTATGAGGAGGTATGTCTTCTGGACAAAGATTGTCTTAAGACAATTTCTCTCTCCTGCTTTGTCTCTGCTTTTTTTTTGGGGGGGGGACTTTAATCCTTTTTAAAATTTCACTCAGTGCTAAGACACGGATCTATGAAATAAATATCAAAGCCCCCAAGCAGCCTCTTTGAAGCCCCATTGGACTCAGGGAATGAGACGCCACCCACCCTCCACAAGAAGACTGCTGCAGAGACAGAACCTGATGACAATTTATATAGAAATGTTTTCTGGAATTCCCAAACTTATCCCTTTGTTTTTCCCAATTTAATTTGTACCTAAGAGGGAAACAGTGAGCTGACAACAATTCAACAAGGTTTGAATTGTTGCTCAAACATGCATCTCAAACAACTTGGGAAAGTTGAAAGACATTCTCAGAAACTGAGAGGGAAAAAATCCAAATTTAAGATACTGTTACATCTTGTAGTCTGAATAAAACATATTTATGCATATTTCATTCTTCTGAAACATGGGTGAAATTCTTCTTTAGAATTTCTCTTTCAGACGCGGGAAGGGTAAATGAAGCTGTTACTTTCCCCTTTCCTAGACAGCAGATCTGCTGCTTCAACAGATGGCAGATGTGAGCCCCAGTTCTTCATTTTTTCTTTTTATTAAACCCCATACAAGTTTATTCTAAATTCTCTATAAGCCTTCATCTTTACATATTATTTAAATTTTAAATTTCTAAAATGTTTATTTCCTGATTCTTTCGTGTTGTACAATTTTTTGATAATAGCTTTATAGGGATTCAACTCACCCATCTGAAGTGTTCGGTGTTTCTTAGTGTAATCACAAAATTGTACAATGACCTCTATAAGCAATTTTGACCTTACATTTATTTATTTGCTTGCTTACTTATTTCAGAAAGAGAGAAAGAGTCCTAAACAGAAGAAAAGTTGCTGCCTTGATGATTCACTCCTTAAAAGTTCTCAATAACCATGCCTGGGCCAGGCCAAAGCCGGGAGCCAAGAATTCACACCAAGTCTCTCTCATGTGTTACCTGCCAGAGTGTGCATTAATTAGAAAACTGGAATCTGCAACAGAGTCAGAGCTGGAGCTCAAGCACTCCAAGTGAGATGCAAACGTGCCAAGCAGCATCTTCGCCACAGACCTGACCCTAATTATGACTTTTATGTAGGTTCGTTATCTCTATATGAGAATAGAAACACCACACTATGATTTACTTAACTTTCAAAGTATTCTACTCGTTGCAGAAGATTGTTTTTTAATTGTTTGAGGAATACTCAATATTTGGGAGCTAAGCTTATATACATGCTTGCTGATTACCTGTAATGATTATGAAAAGCAACATTTTTTTGCTTGCACATCAATATTTTTTGTGAAATAAAATCGATTCAGGAAACTTTAGTTATGTTAAAAACCTTTAGACAAATAGAAGAGGTTAGGAAAACAAGTGTTGCTAAGGGCAGTTATCTCTATATAAACCTGCTGAACAAGAAAGCCCATCCTGTGGCTTGCCTGGGTAGTCTCTTCAGGTCAACGAGGCATTGATCTCGTGGCTTGTAAATTTCTGAACTTCCAAAAATCTAGAGTCCCAAACAAAAATGAGCTGACACTTGAAAGAATAAAAACTGTGACTATACAATTGCCTATGTAAGGGATACTGCAAGCACACATTTATGATTATGGTTAAGAACATTTTCAGGGAAGTTGCAGTTGTCTCATTCACATTTGGGATATTCAAATTTCCCTTCGTGACAGACGGCCCGAAAGGCTGGTGTGTGTTGTGCTGCTTTGCGTGAGTCTTTACACATGAATTCCACAATGTCACCTGTTTTTGCATAAAGTTTTCTGCTGTCTCTCCACTTCAACTGAATGTTATTTTTTTTCATATTTTCTTCTGATATTATACATGCATCTGAAAGAAAAGAGTAGTGAAATAAAATAAATAAATACCTCCCACTTATAGAGTAATGAAATTGCATTTAAGGATATTTAGGAATGATTGGTATAATGAAAGAATATTGACAACCAATGTGTTCAGAGTTACACCAAGTCCTGTTCTCAGCTTGATGCATGTGTTGTCTGCAAGCATTCTGCATTGCTTTTGCAGGCTACACAGGAAGTGTGGGAGGCTCTGAGAGGTTTCGTCCAGCTCACAGGGACACAGACAGAGCTTGGAGCCCAAGGACAGAGCCCCGCAGTGTGACAACAGAGCCTGGGCTCTTACTGTTGGACATTACTCGCCTAAAAACCACACAGAAGATAGTGATACAAACATCCTCAAGGTCTATGTTGTTCAATCTGTGATCCTAACCCTGGATTTTTCTTGACTCTATTAATATCAGAATATGCATGGTCTCAACACCGCATATCTTCTAATATCTTCCTCAACATTATAGTCAGATCATTTTTTCCTGCCCATGAAATGCATAGTACAGGGAAAGGCTGGGAAAGACTTATACTGAAGATGACACATCCAGAAGCTGCATCCCTCTGGACATTTCACAAACACGTTCTTGAAGACAACTGTGATCATTGACATTGAAACTCCAACCAACTCTAGGCTTGCTTACCTGAATCTCCCTTTTTATGTTGCAATTCATCCACAGATCTTAACTATTGGGAACTTTGAATTTTGTACTAAACAATGTAGTCTTCCATCAGTGATTCCCTCATTCTTTTTTTTTTAACTAAGCATTAAGCATTCTCATCATGAATTCATATATATATTTTTTTAAAGATTTATTTTTTACAGAGTCAGATATTCAGAGAGAGGAAAGACAGAGAGGAAGATCTTCCATCCGATGATTCACTCCCCAAGTGAGCGCAATGCCTGGTGCTGCACCGATCCAAAGCCAGGAGCCTGGAACTTCCTCCAGGTCTCCCATGTGGGTGCAGGGTCCCAAAACCTTGGGCCATCCTCGACTGCTTTCCCAGGCCACAAGCAGGGAGCTGGATGGGAAGTGGAGCTGCCGGGATTAGAACCAGAGCCCATATGGGATCCCAGGGCACGTTCAAGGCGAGGACTTAGTCCTTCCCTCATTCTTTATTACACTAACATTTGTTTAAGAACTTTGAGATGGAGATGCATTCTACTTGTAACACATTCGCCATGTTCTTTTCTACCATAATCTCTGAAAACAGGAATTATTCAGATGATGCTTTTGGATCTGGATTGATCCATACCCAGAGATCCTAAGATATGTTGGGAAGCACAAAGGACTTCAAAAAGTTTATACAAAACAGAATTAAATTATTTTTCAGTGCCATATTTTTTTAAAACACATGTGTAAAGAGTCTTCAAAAGTTCACAAAAAGCTCATGTTAAAGACAAATTACATGTAAATTTCATTTTTATGGTACCAAAATCAACTTGTCTTTAATTCCATTTTTACTTTTAAGGCACTCATTTTCTGCATAATTCGTGACAAACTGTCAAGGTGGAATGACTTTCTCTCTAACCTTAGTCATGAGAGGTCCATGGCACAGGACTTAGGTCCATGGGATTCTGTCTGAGTACTAGCACAATCAAACGTGGAATTTGAATGAAATACTCAGACTTTCTGTGGCTCTGTTAGTTCATCTGTGAATGCCCACCAAGTCTGTTAAGAAATTCCGTTGTAATTAAAAAAAAATCCCAACATTGCTAAATACAGATTTTCAAACATTTTTCTTGTTTAATAACATTTGTCAGCAAAAGATTTCACTGGAATGGAATTTTACTGAAGATATCATCCTATGGAATTAGTTCATGGAAATTCTACCACAGATACTCTATCTTAGACTACAGAAGAATATTAAGCACTCACCCAGGCATTTTGGTGGTTCTGACCACTGTCCATTTCTGCATGTTACATATCCGGGGCCTTTGAGTTCATAAAAGGCTTGGCAACTATACCCCACTCTTGACCCTGGTGGATATTTTAATAGTGGGAATGAAGTGATATCGCCATTGTCAATAGGTGGAGGGGGCCCACAACTTTGTGTAGAGTCTGGAAAAGAATATTTATTTGTTGAGGAAAAAGTCAACACATCAGGCACCATATAACTTATCTTCAGTATTTTATATGGTACCTGAGAACACAAATAGATTCATCTTTTAACTAGTCCAACACTTTGCTCTGTGAATTATCCCCATTTTTGATAGTATCAATTTTCATCTCTATGTGGAATCACTCACCAACCTGAAAACATGACTAACCAGTCAAAACTCAGAAAGGTAAAAATTCTCCCTAGCCACACTGACTTTCCAGCCACTGCTCACTTCTCTATTCCCTTTAGAGTGAACATACTTACTTTCTCTTTCCCTGATCTACAATTCTCCACTCTTCTTTTTAGAAATATAGTAGACTTTACATATTTCATATACACAGTTTTAAACCCAAAATACCTCCCAACTTCCTTGGCTCCCTCCCTTCTTCCTTCATTTTTATTTTTTCTTTTAATTTTTATAATGATGCGCTTTCAATTTAATTTAAAGTTACTGTCTTACTCTCCAACTACACAAACAATTGTGCAAATAAAAAACCCCTGCTCTGAGATAATAACCCTGAATATAAATGTTTAAACTCTCCATCCAAAGATGCACAGAGTAATTGCTTGGATCAAAACATGGCTCATCTAATGGCTACTTACAAAAAACATTTCTCAGCAATAAACACACACACAACAAAGAAACCTTCACACAGAATGTAAAAGAAATGAACAGGTGTTAACCATTCTAATATCAGGTGAAATGGCCTTTAACAAAAAATATTTTAAAGGAGATGAGGGCTGGCATTAAATAATGATTAAGGGATTAATTAAAAAGAAGCCACTATAGCAAATGTATACGCACACAGGACCAGGACACCAAGCCTTTTAAAGCAATTGTTAAGGAGCCTAAAGGAAAATATAGACTCCAACACAATAATGAGGGGGAAATTTCAATGCTCCACTTTCATCAATGGACACATCAACCAGAAAAAAAAAAGGAAAGAGAAAAGAAACTAAACAATAGAACCAAGCTCCTCTATTGACCAAATAGGGCTCATTGACGTCCATAGAATGTCTTGTTCCAAAGCTGCAGAAGAGAGATTCTCTTCTTCAGTACAGGGAATTTTCTCTAGGATAGACAATACGTTATGCCATAAACCTGTCTCAATTTAAAAAAATTTTAAAAACCCTCAAATAACATGATGTGCTGTTTCTGGCCACAATAGAATGAAGCTAGAAATCAACAACTTGAGAAATTCTGCAAAATAAGCACAGTTTCATGGAACGTGACCAAAAAGCTCCTGAATGAACAGAGAATGATCATAGGGGAAAAAAATCAAAAGGGAAATAAAAATCCCTAGAAATCAATGAAAATGACAATGCAGCACATTAAATCACATACAGCAAAAGCAATGTTAAGAGGAAAGTTTATAGTAATTGGTGCCTACATCCAGAAGCTGGTAAGGTATTAAATAAATAATCTAACTGCACATCTCAAGGACTCAGAAAGAAAGAACGAAATAAACTTCAGTGAGTGGTAGGAAAGAAATAAAAAAAAACCTGAAGAAATACACAACATTAAAATAAAAAATAATACAAAAGATCAGTGAAATGAAAAGCTGGCTTTTTGAAAAATGAAGTAAAATTGAAAAAACATTGACTCTACTAATAAAAAAAATGGGGGGGGCAGGAAGAAGATACAAATCAGTGAAATCAGGTGAAAAATGAGGTGTTACACAGATACCCCAGCATTTAAAAGAATCATGAAAATTACTACAAGTTTTATGCCACTACTCTGGAAATGTATAACAAATGAGTAGATCGCTGGACACAACAACTTATCGATACTGATGCACAAAGACATGGAAAATCTAAACAGAACAAAAACCAAGATGGACATTAAGAATATCACAGGACCACAAAAGCCCAGGATCAGAAAGCTCTACCAAACCTTTAAAGAATAACTAGTCCACATTGTTTCTTAACCCACTTAATTATGCATTAACGGTCTTAAGAAATAACCCTGGGGAAGTCACCAGTGACTTCCAGGTAGTTGAATCCAAAGTTCAATATCAGATGTCTTGCCCATTTCTAAGCAATGTTTCATGTGTCTGACAACTTGTTGAATGATATTTTGAGATATATCCTGTTGAAGCAATACCTTGGAGATTCCAGGAGCCTTCAATTTTCCTCTCAAAATTCTATCTGACTCCCCTTCATCACCCAGCTCTCTAAAAACGAAGATCTCCAATGCTGAGTTCCTTTGACCTAATCTTTTAAAATGAAATTTAGAGTAAATTACTGACCAATACATTGTGGTAATGATTGCCATTGTCCGTTTTTACACACAAGTTCCTTTACTTCTTGAAGTTGAAAATTCTCTTTACAAAGAATAGCTACTTTTTCTCCATCTTGGTAATTCACTGTGGTTGTCATATTTTGAGCATGAGGTATCTGAGGTGGTGGGGGGCAGAGACGCTTGTTCTTTTCTACAAAGCAAAAATTTTATTTAATTAATGAAGGTTAACAAAAAATGGCTCAACGGCATGATGCTTCAGAATTATGGACTATCCAACAATATCTCTCTTTGTTTCATTTAAAAAAAGCAAAATTTTACAGGTTCTAATTTGGTTTTATTCGTTGTTTCTGTTGCTGCTCTTGTATATCTTACGAATTAACCAATTTATTTCTTCCGTCTAGTTGGTATGAGTCAAAATGGTAGTGCACATGTGAGCCAAACAAGTTAGAACTCAGATTTTAAAATGACAGCAGCAGAAAAGACAACAGCACCAACCAAGCTTTTCCTCAGTGACTTCAACCTAGCACTCAATAAAGGATTCAATGACTGCCGTTTTCTTCCGAACTTAAGAACTGTGGACTATGGACATAGAATGCCTCTCTTGGTTGAGGGATTAGCTTATTTTTGATCGCTTGGATGTTTTTGGAAATATTTTCATTGATTCTTAAATGAGATGGTATTGTCATATAAACCACATTCCAGCACTGATTAAATAAGGTCAAGGGAAGTATCTTGTGTGAAAGGAAAATATCAAGAAACCGTGCTTTTTCAGCAATCCAAACAGCTCCTGCTATTTCCCCTCTTCTTCTGTCTTCATTTATTCTAAAAATAATGCTTGAGTTATTTCCCCCACATTTCTGTTTTTATCTGTCTTAAATGTTTACTTAAGCCCGTTGATAGTTCTTGATTAGAGTCGACCTAATTAGACAGGTCAACTTAGAAATATATATATATAAATATTATATATAATATATATAATATATATTTTTATATATTATAATATATATAAAGTGAAAACGGCATTGAATAAAATACAATATTTTACTTACAACTGATCTATCCCATTAAAGTAAAATATTGTATTTCATTCAATGCTGTTTTCACTTTTACTGTTTCTCATTTCTTCTCATATCTGGATTTTACTTCCTATCTTTTTAGGATGTTTGAACATTTCAACTTATTTTCCTGCCAAAAATAAATTTGAAGCTCTGAACTTTGATTAGGTCACAAATTACAGATTTTACTTGTATAGTTCTTAATATTTCAAGCATTTTGAAACTAAAGTGAATTATTCTGCTATCCAAAACGAAGCTTATGAAGTAGATAATTTTATGAGTACTTTTACACGTTATGTCATTATGATTTTAAAAAGTGATCTGTAGGATTTCAGCATTTAAAAATTATAAGGTTTATTTTGTGCAACTGCTAAGAAAAATTTATCTCTCATTTTTCATTTACTTGTTTATTTGAAAGGTGGGGCAGCACATAAACACACAGAGAATTTTGGGTAAGAGAGGTATATTCCATCTGCTCATTTCCTCTCCAGATGCCCATATTGGCTGGCTCTGGACCAAGATGAAGCCAGGAGCCTGAACTTGAACAAAGTCTCTCATGTAGGTGGCATAAAGTTAAAACCTTATCACTTGCTGTCTCCCCAGGCTTGCATTAGTAAGTATCAGGAGTGGGAGACAGGACTGAACCCAAGCAGTTTGATATGGAATACAGACTTGGCAAATGATATCTTAACCACTAAGCCAAATACACATTCCAAGCCAGATATTTTAAAGATTGGTATTTGTTTAGAAACAGTGCTGGGACCAGGTTTTATTTTTTTCAAAAGAAAAAATTTTTAAACTGCCCTGATAAATTACGTAATTTTAAAATACAGTATTTTCAGTTGAAGGCACAATGGGATCAGCAAAAGTTTCTGTAAATCTTACCTGTGCAACTTGGCTTGGGATTCCAGTTCCCATTTACACAGACGGTTCGCATGTAGCTGTGTGATCCAGTGCATCTATAACTTATTGTGGTATTATGATTATATTCACTCATATGTGGTCTGAAGAATATTCCTGAACCAAGGCTTGATCGTGAACACTTCTTGAGTCGATCAGTGGCTATAAAAGGAATATATTTGTAAACAACAAGACTATTTAAAGGAAACTAAGAAATTATGTATAAATATATTGAATATTAGTAGGATAACGAGCCAAATCAAGATGGCAGAGTAGGGTAAGGACACATTTTAACAGACAGAGAAACATTAGCCAGTGTGAAGCAAGGAGGACACACTCCAGGAAATAGGACAGGAAACAGCAACAATAGATGGGTACCTGAAACTGACACAGGAAAGCAGTGGACACAATAGTGCGGTGTTGCAGTGACAGATAACTCAGCAGCATTCAGTGAGCAGTGACTTGAACTGCACCAGCAACAAGGTGGGACAGGGCGTTCACTGGAAGCTCATGAGGTGAACCCAGACAAAGAACTGCCTGTCCTGAGGTCTGTTTGACTTGACCAGGACCAGAGAGAGAGAGCAACAAGTAGCAGATGGGTGCTTTGGGAGCAGGGTGGATTTCACAGCCCAGTCTGCCCTCTAGAGCCGGATTGAGCACCATTTTGTGTAGGGAGGCAAGAGCTAAGGACAGGATTGTGCAGGCACTGAGCTGGGAGTGAACTCATTTCTGTCTCAGTGAACTGCAACAAGGTGGCATGCTAAAGGTTCCACCCAATATAGGTCTGGGTAGCCCTCAGACCTGACAGCCAGCAGATCAAGAGCTCTGGTAGTGGTACATCAGGCACCATTTTGTGCAGTGTGGCAAAAACTTTAGGACTGTAGGGAAATAAGAAGGTACATATACTAATCTAGGAGTGAACTCACTGAGCTCAGGGCATTGCACTGGTCCCACAGGAAAAATAATACTGACTTTGGCATCATATGGGTCAAAATAGGTCCATGTGGCCCTCAAACCTAATGCCCAACAGATTGTGACAAGATCAACACCACCAACAATTTAGCTATATAGGGCACCTGATGTCTTTTTAATCCTGGGACCTGCTCCAAACAGAAGTGGGAGAAAGGTTGTCCAGACAACCGTGCAGCCTCAGCACGGTATCACAGGAGGTGGAGACTGATGATGCAGGAGCTGGGGCTATGGAGATCATGGTAGAAATCTAACATAAGAATTCAGACCTGGAACTCCCTGGAGGGAGTGGCACAAGTGACTGCAAACAGAGTCATGTACCAACAGCAATAAGTACAATTGAACTGTAGACCTGTGGGTGACATAGCTTAGAAACCTGCCCCCAGGAAAAGGATCTGATAACCAGAAGAACAACAACCAAGAGCAAAAGAAGAGACAGAGGCACAATGAATATTATTGAAAACTCCCCTGCAAAGGACCAAAAAACCTTTGCCAACCTCAGAAAAAACTGAGTAAGACATTGAGAAAATGGGGGATACAGAATTCAAAGCACTTATTTTAAAGCTTCTTACCAACAATGAGAAGCACGTAACAGAAGTTCAAGCAATTTAAGGAATATGTCACACAGGAAATGAATCAAATGAAAGCTGATGTATCAGAAATTAAGTATATAGTGGAGCAAATTAAAAGTACAGTGGAGAGTCCCCAAAATAGAATAAATGAAGCAAAAGAATCTCAGAATTGAAAGATATTTCCTGTCACCAACAGGAAAAAAACAAAAAGCTGGAAGCAGAGCTGAATCAAGCAAAAAAAACAGTATTCAAGAATTGAAAGACTCTATTAAACAGCCAAATGTTGGAGTTATGGGAGTCCCTGAAGGTGAAGAAAGAGAAGCTAGGTTTAAAAATGTATTTAATGAGATAATAAGGGGAAATTTCTCTAATCTAGAGAAAGAGTTGGGAAATAACATCAAGGAGGGGCACAGAACTCCCAACAGGGTTGACCAAAAGTGATCTTTACCATGAGACATGATCATCAAGTTGTCTTCAATGGAACATAAGTTAAAAGGTCCTTAAATATGCACGTGAAAAAAATCAACTGACATATAAAGGAATTAAAATTAAGTTCACAGCTGACCTCTCAAATGAAACCGTGTAGGCCACTAGAGAATGGAGTGACATATTTCAGATTTTAAAAGCAAAAATTGTCCAGGATAATGTACCCAGCATAGCTTTCCTTTGCCTTTGGAAATGAAATAAAATTCTTCCACAGTAAAGTTAAAAGAATATACCTCTTGCAAACCTGCTCTACCAAGGACACTTAAAGATGTTCTCTTGAGAGTAGAGAAATAGCACCCACAAAAACCAAAAAACCAACGGCAAATGCGAAGAACATCCCGGTAAAGTAACAACAAAAGACTAAGTCAATGAACAACCAACCGCTAAGATGATAGGACCAAATTACCACCCATTCATATTAACCCTGCATGTAAATGGCTTAACTCATCAATCAAATGTCATAGATTGGTAGACTGGATTCAAAAAACAAAACCCATCTATTTGTTGCCTACAGGAGACATCTCTCGCCATCTCACCAATAAAGATCAACAGAAATTATATCTCATAGATTTTTTGTTTTGGTTTCAACTCTTCAAAATACTTTGTCACTATATTCTCCAATAACTCATAGATCATGCAGTAGCATCATTTTTTTCAAGAATATTCTTGATTTTATTTTTCATTCCTTCAGAGACACATTAGTCATTCAGTAGCATGTTATTTAACTTCATGGCATTGTTAATTTCTTTTTTTTCTTCCTTCTGTTGATTTTTTTATTGTGGCTTTTCATTTAAGGGGATGTACAGTAACTGTGTAATGCAGGCTATCATATTCAGATGTGAAGATACAATGCAATATTCATCTCTACTTCCAGACCAAAGATGGACTCTCAAAGAAACTGCTAACTATATCTTGATGATAAGATGCTGGACTCCACCATTCTCCATGCCCGCAATAATGGAGCAGTGACTGTTTACGAAGAACTATACTATAGTTATAATATTGGAGAGCTCAGTGGTGTGGGAGGGAAGGAGACTTGGAGAAAAGGTAAGGGAAATCCCAAGGCCTATGGAACTGTATCTTAAAATAATAATTAAAGAAGTAAAGAAAATAAATAAAATATGGTATGCAAAAAAACACCCAAATACCAGGTTTTGATGCTTTAGGTAACATGACAAAGAGCTATTCTTAATCTTATTGCATGAAACAGATTGTTGTTGAGAAGAATTTAACAAGAAATCTAAACAATGAAAATATACTGTATCCAGTCTTTGAGTGACAGAAAATTGTATCATAATGCTTTGGGAGAAAGAAGTGCAAGATGGATTCCTCCACTCCAGGGGAATTTTGGCTCAGCGAGATTTCTGGAGATTTTCAAACTGTACGCAATTGTTATTGTTTCCTCTAAGTCATATAAAAAAAAACTTCAAGAATTTATATAAAAAAGGAGGTCATTCAAGAATCAGCCTGTGGGAGTGATAATATTAGTAAAAGATATAAATCTAGACATACTTTTATGCGGACATTCAGAGCTTAGCAGAAACCCTGAAGTCAGAGTACATTTAAGGGAGAGAGCATCAACCATGTCAGATCCAGTATAGCTGTTTCCATTGGTCCTTGTTTGCACAGTTTTCATTGTTACATTTATTTTTTCCAATGAATGCTGGCTGTGCATCCTTTCTCCTGGCATGTTGGAGGATGAGGTAATGCAACATGGGTTGTGCTTCGCTGCTTCTGTGTGCTTTCTGCAGTAATTGTAACTTCGAACTTGGTTTGTATGGTGCTCATGCACAAAAAGTAGTGATCATTGAACTAGCCTAATATACCACTGCCTATAATAGAGCTGGTCTCTTGGTAGTAAAGACCTCACATTAGGCCATCACAGATGAGCAGCTACCAGGTGTCTGGCAGGCCTACAGGATTCAACTACTGCCATCTCTCTCCAGAAGTGAATAGGCCCGTTGAAACCTCGGGCTAGGTCATGGGGCAAGAGGCTGGCTCTGGATTCTGCTTTTAGATTCTGGAAGGAGAGCAGCAGCAGAGTCTCCTTATCTTTGCAGCTGAAAATGAGAGGTGTCAATACACTGGGTTTGTGAGACAAAGGAAAAGAGAAGCCAACATCTGAGGATGTCATGAAAAATACACCATAGCTGGAAGCCTTAGTATTACTGGAATGCAAAGTAACAGCGCAGCACACAGGCTGACGGACAAACGGAAGAAAATTCCAAGCCAGATTTCCCCTGCGTCTGCGGGGAGAACACAGAAAAGCCAGCGAAAACATCCTGCGTTGTAATTAGGGAACTGTGAGGACAAGATTTGCAGGAGTGGTACCTAGTTCCTTGGTCTCGGCCCCTCTTTTTCACTTTGCAGAAGGCTATGAGTTCAGACTACATGATTACTGTTTGGATTGTGTTTTCTAGGTTAATCTCTGGCATAAACGAGATTAAAACTGTAATTGTTGAAGCATAATATCCAAATTCAATACTAGAGCTAATACAAGAATTCAACAAGGTTAGTGATAACAAAATCAATACACACAATTAAATTATATCTTTTATATACAAAGTATAACAATTCAAACATATGAATTAATGAAGGGTCCCAAGCCAAAAAAAAAAAAATCAGTAAGAACTTTATAAGGAATAAAAACAATTCATAAAATCATACGGAAAAGTTCAATATAGGACCTGAGTGAATGAAATAATATTGGCATTCCTGAGGGTAAGAGTTAAAACTGGTAACATTTTCTTGATAAGATTATAACTCTAACTAGTTACTAATTTTGTACAAGCCTAACCAGAAATATAAACAATCAAATGGAAAGTTAGAATGCGTTCTCACCAACACACTCTGGAAGTTCTGTCCACATTCCGCTTAGGCAGGAGATGCTGTGGTTTCCAATCATTGTATGCGTGCTTTTGCAGCTCAGCTCCACTGTAGCGCCATGTGGATAGGGAGGGGCAGAGGGCTGGGCATAACCATGCTCTAGTTTCGGTAAAGAGCTACATGTTTGCACTGGGCCTAGGCAAATGTCAAAGTTATATTTATCCTTAAAACATTCAAAACCCATTTATGCATGTATTTATGTATCAACGTAAAATAAAACAAAATGTCTGTTTATGCATTAGTGTCTATTTACCTACACAAGTGGGCAAAGTAGTCCATTCTCCATCCATACATTGTATTTTGCTAGGCCCTTTCACTGTAAAATGAGAATTGCATTCATATTGCACCACTTCCCCATGTCCATATTCTTCTTTCCTTGAGTCCTTCACTTTCCCATTGGGGAGTTGGGGAGGTGGACCACATGGTTGTACTTGCTCTGTAATAAAGAAACTATTAATAATGCCTAATTGACCTTTTAATCATATATCCAGAAAAAAGTGGAGTCACTAATTGAGTTGACTGAGTTTAATTTCTGTCATTTTCATTTTGTAGATCTGCTTTTCAGTGTTGATAATATATTGACTATTCATTTTTTCAAATATCGATTTTTGTTCTGAATGTTTTTGAACAAATTGAAGAACATGTAATAACCTCTAATTTACTGGACATCCATTTATCAAAATAGTACACTTTGTCCTATTTGCTCTATTTATTTTTTTGTAAAATAATGTAAAATAACTGACAGAGATTTTATTTCTGAATCCTTTAGAAGCTGATCTAGCAAATAAGGACATTATCCTTACATATACAAAATATGTAACATTATGTCTTGCCAAATTAAGAATAACTTCTTAGTGTAATCTTACTATATTCTTTCTATATTCAAATATCTCATTGTCCTGTCCCCCATATTTTTATTTTATTTATTACAATCAGGATTTTAATTTGTGTTACTTGAGATTTTAAAGTAGGAGAATGGTCTTGCTATAATAGAAAAGTAAGTATCTCTCAAATATGCGATATTATTATATGTAAAAAGTATAGTAATCGTTTTTATTAATTAACATGCACAAACACCTAAATTAATTGTATCAGATATCTTTGATAATGTCACCTAAACTCAGCAGCAAAGCATTATTTCCTTTTATTGAATAATTCTTCCCATCACATTGCATTTGATGATCTGCTTATTAATTTCTTAATTTCATAAAATATAAGGACATCTATAACATTTTAATTTTTAATGAACTAGAGACAACAACAAAGCCTTCTCAACTTCAATGACATATTTCTTATTTTATTTCATTTTATTTTGAGAGACCGTGAGACAGAAAGAGAAGAATGAAAACAGTGCTCCCACCCAACAATTTATTCCTTGAATATTGGCAACCATTGTGAATGGGCTCTGCTGAACCAGGAGATGGGAACCCCATCTGGGTCCTCCATGTGTGGCACCCAAATAAATAAGTCAGCACCTGCTACATTAGCAGGAAGAGGAACTGGAGCTTAAACCAGGGTGTACTGATGTGGGGCGTGGCTTTTTAAGGATTGAATCAAATAGCCAACTCATCAGCTACTATATTTCAAGCTATAAAATCGCATGAGATATTTCCAAACACAGAGCCAGAATACTTGATTACCAGACTTAAATGATTAGCCAACTCAATTACTATAGACCAACATCCCCCCTCCTTCTCAAATACCATCTTTGTTATTTTTTTCTACTTTGTTAGATTCTAGATGCAACGATAGCTTTAATAAAGTAGGAAGATGATAACATAAAAATGAATTCTTGCTTCTAAAAGAAATATTGACCTTTGCATGTTGGAAAATCAGGTGACCACCCAAATTGGTAGCACTGGACTGAATCTGGTCCAACTCTTGCAAATTTTTGTCTGCAGGAAAATTTCAACACATCTCCAACTTTGTATTTTTCTTGTTTTGGACGGGCATCTAAATATGCTTCTAAAAATGGAAGAGGACATTCTATTTCTAAAAACAAAATTAAAAACATTAACATATGTATGAAATTTTATTGCAAAAAGTTAACATATACTAGACTAAAAGATGTAAATAAATGTATATTCAGAGAAGTATAAAACATATCCTTATCTTCAAATATATATAAGTTAATTTTTATACCCAACAAATATATACAAAACCTTCTAGGCAAGTTAAGAAATTGAGAAACAAGGTAGAATCTTATATGGTAATTTCTTCAGGATTACACCAAACAGTCCTGAGAAGTTACTTAAGGACAATATTTAATTTATTTAGGCAGCATGTTTTAATTTTGCATAATGAGAAGTATAATTACTAATAAAATAGAATATAAAGAATTTTCACATTCAGTGTCTCAGAAAGTCATACTGTCATGTAGCACAAATGTTAAGTGCAATATATTTTTACACTTTTCATTAAAATTATAATCATGTTCAAAAAGCAGACTATTTGTAACACCCAAAAAGATATACCCAACAAATTTTAAGTTGGAGGGAATGTTAATAATGAAAGAATAATACTAACTTAACAATAATACTAATAATAATACTAACTTAACAAATAAGTAGTAGGTTATCAAAGACTTTTAAAACACAATGCTGAATTCTCATTAGCATGTTCACAAAAACTTTTATCTCCTGGTTTAATCATAGATTTGTATGAGAATCTATGTGTGTTTTTCCTATTTAATCATGTTTTATGTTATTTGAATTAGCTTATGTTGTGTCAGAAACCAATGCTGATGCCTCATTCTTGAGTCTCAACCTATGAGCCAAAATAAACTATTTCCCGTATCAAGTCACTAGCGACATACAATTCATGAAGACATATTTTTAAAGAAAAATTATATTTGTTGGAATTTATAACAGCATTTGAAAATGAATTCATAAGGACCGAAATGTGTGGTCCCATTTACATCAAAGTATGTTTTGGTATAACTTGAAAGTCCTGTGTGCAAAGTTCAAATCCAAGACATGGACCACAAGTGTTAGGAGCTGATGGATAGAGGAGACTGGAAGAAAGCCAAGGAGTGAAATACGTTTTTGAGGAAGGTATAACCTTCCATGTTTTTGCTAGTGTTCACCCAGTTTTGAAGGAATTGACAGTACAAATTTACTAAACCTTAAGAATTCCTTTCATTTTAGCCACAGATCTGATGGGGGTGGCATATAAACGACCTCGTTTTGAGTAAACAATGTACTTTGCATATACATATGATAATAATAATCATGTCTTCAAGTCACCTAGAGACACCTCAAATTTGAGTATTATTATTATTTTGCAAACAATTTTCTAAAGAATCCAGAAAAAGTACATGAATAAGCACATACTTCTATTTTCTGGATGAAAAAATCCTTACCGTAGCACATGGGCAAATGGGACCAGCCATCCTCGCCACAAACTATGAAGCCTGAAGTGTGCCCATCTCGGCTCTGGTGGCCATCGCTGCACTCATACTCCAGCTGCTCATTGAGCATAAACCGTGTGCTCATATTTCTCACTCTGGCATTCACCAAGACTGGCAAATCACAAGACTCTAAGGCACATTAGAGATCAGGATTTTATCTCACACATCACCTCAAGAACACAACAAGCACAAGATTCTTTAATAGGTTTTGTTAAAATTTTAATAAGTTTAAGTCATTTCATGCTAACAAAAATATATAAAATATCTTTACAGAAAGTTATTGCTAAAAACAATAAAAATGGATATAACTCAGTTTTACAGAAAAGCAGATGTGTACCTGAGATGGCAGAATCAGCACACGCGTGCTTATTTGGGTGAATTTATAAATTCAAATAAATTAAGAAGCAACTACAAAGTATCCTGGATAAGTTTATATTTTGTATATGATTATATCTATCATTTGTAGCATGGTACACACACACAAGTACACTTAATAATTAAGTAAATATCAAATCTATGATGAACTGATTGGTTTGTATATATCCCTTAATAGGAAGGTTTTTCTTTTTAAAGATTTATCTTATTTTTATTGCAAAGTCAGATATACAGAGAAGAGGAGAGACAGAGAGGAAGATGTTTTTATCCAATGATTCACTCCCCAAGTGGCCAAAGCAGCTGGAGCTGAGCCAATATGAGTATAGGAGCCTGGGGCCTCTTCCAGGTGTCTTACGTGGGCTGTCCTTGACTGCTTTCCCAGGCCACAATCAGGGAGCTGGATGGGAAGTAGGGCTGCAGGGAATAGAACCAGCGTCCATATGGAATCCTGGCGCGTGCAAAGCGAGGCCTTTAGCCACTATGCTCCCATGCTGGATCTGATAGGGAGGTTCTTTAGAGGCTATATAATTTTTAACATTTAGTCAGCCAGTCAAGCTCCCTGAGTTCCAACCCGTAGTCCATCAGTACCACTCCATCGGATGAGAGGTTGGTAGCCCGCTATTCATGCAATGACTCTGTACACAGGGAAGGAACCCCGAAGTTAGGACAGTTATAGTCTTCCATCTTGCTGATTTACATATCCTGTGAGTTGTCTGGAGGTGAGACAGGAAGCCCCTGTGGCTGCAAAAGACTCAAGCAATTCTTGCCCGTGCATGTCATCTGGCGTGGAGATTCCCCCAAGGATTGGTGAGTGGCATTGCCTGCATTCACACTTGCTCTACAGCCCCGTCCACTAGGAGTTTCTTGGTCGTCCGCCTTCACAGGCGTGGTCTCTGGAAGACATTGTGCTAGAGGATTTTCCCTCCCTGCAGTTTTTCCAATACCCACCCAAATGAGCATGCGTGTGCCTCTGCCACCTCAGGCACACCTCTGCTTTTCTGTATGAATCCTGAATTCCAGAAATGTGGCAATAAACGGGGAGAAAAAAGCAATAGAAGAAATGGTGCGTTTTCCAGGTCCTCAAATACAATTTAGTGGATTTATTGATAATCGAATTTGTATATGATATAATTGCTAATTAACAAATATCAGAACATTGAAATTGTTATTAGTTACATAAAGACATACAGTAACACAAAGAATGTTTATTCTCTGGTGGTGCATTTTATGATAGATGATTCATAAGTTTATCACAAATGAAGAGTATATTCCTGACTATTGAATTTCACAAACTGGATAGTATGAGGAAATAGTGTATACTTCTTTACTAAGAGCCACTAGAAGACTACAAATGGAAAGGAACGATAATAAGTTGGAGTGGTTTTCTTACTTTCTGTCTGCAACACTGAGAAGAGTTTATGAAATAAGTTTGGTATAAGAATAATTACTTTACCTTATTGATCTATTTTCTTTGAAAATGGACTTTATTTTATGTGATTATTATGTAGGTCTAAAAGATGGGAAAATAAGAGTTGGAGGAATGTTTGATGCTACAATATTTAGAAAAATGCAACATAAAATATAAAATTACTTACTAATACAAGTAGGTTGTATAGACCACCCATCTTGCAAACACGTAACTGTCCCAGATGTCTTTCCATCTGCTGTTGTATATCCTGGCTTACACTTAAACTGTGTTTCTTTATTCAAAGGATAAGTGTATTCAGATTCAGTTAAAAACCCATTGTCAATTGTAATGTCTGATTTTGAACAGTTTTCTGAGGGGAGGCAAAAATAAGAGAAAAATGAATTCATTAAAAATTTTCACCGTAAGTCAATTTATATGACAAAAAATAAGATGGAAAATAGTAGATCTCCTGTATCTTGGAATCATTCTTGCATCCACATTTTAGAATACTGAAGATAAAACCTGGCAAGCGTTTGAACTGATATGTAGTAAGATCTCGAGTTCTCAGGTCGGTGCCTGGCTCCAGCTCCTGACCCAGCTTTCTGTTAATGCTGGAGTGACTCACGTGATTAAGGTCCTGCCACCTGCATGGGCGGACTGGATTCTCATCTTCTAAGCATTGTGAGCATTTAGGGAGTGAGCCGGCAGAGAGGCAGCCACTCTTCCTTTATTTATCTGTATTTGTCTTTCTGCTTTGCAAATAAATACTTGTTCTTGAAAAATTAATAGTTAACACTAAGCTTTTAGGAGAGAATATTCTAAAAAAACTATGCAAAATATAATCAATGTCACATAAAATAAAACAAACAGAACATGAAAATCAAGGGTGAAGAATTCTTGCTAACAGAGTTTGGCATAAGCCATTTGACTCAATAATCCATTATTTCCTATGGAAGAATATGGGTAAGGGATTTGAGTAGACTGCATCCCTTTATGCACTTTTCACATTGATTCAGGTATCTTAGGTAACAGAGAACACTCTTAAAATGAGGGTCTCAAAGTAGGTCCTGTGTCAAACCAGAAATGCACTGAATTCACAATTGGACATCCAAACAGGAAGTGTACCAACTAGGAGACAACTGGCTCCAGAGGTTTGGTTATGTAAAGAAACAGTACATCATGATAGAGAAACAAAATCTATATGTGGCTCCTCTAGGGCAGCAGTTTCTATTCAGGTAAATAATCTTTTTTTTTCCATTGTTCAATATAGTAGGAGGAATCTAATAATTAGCAATAGTATTACTTCTGTTGTAATTGTCTGTGGAAGTCTGAAGAATAGCCCCTACAAATATCTATATTTTAATTTCAAGAAACCATGGAAATTATTATGTAAGGTGAAAGAACTTTACAGATAGAATCAAGCTAATTAAACAAAAACTATGGACATTAACTTTGTTGTTTGTGCAAATACAGACATTATAAATTGATCACCAAGAATCTTAATGAACTGGAATGCATAGTAATGGAAATTCTGATAAACCTTGTATGCAATTCCTGGTCATCTTCTGTAAAATAATCACCACCCCCACGAGAACCTGACGGGACAATACTTACTGATGAACCTGCATTCGGGAGCAGCAGACCAGCCTCCTTCTGTGCACACAATGCTATTCCCACCATTTTGAAGTCCATAGCCTCCATCACAGACAATTCGCACGGTGTCACCTTGCAGGTGTATTTTTCCTGAAGACTCAGAATGACCATTTTCCACAAAGGGAAAGAAACACATTCCTGAGGAACAACAAATGATTGAGGACAAGATAAAACTGGGGAAAAAAAAATAAGATAAGGGTGTATTCCTCAATACTTTAGAAAGAATAGGAAGCCTGAAAAATAAAACAAAATATGAAAACAAAACTTCAAAAGAAAGTACATTATGCAATATGAATAAAGCGCCTTCTCACTGGGGCATATGCATTTATTTATTTATTTAATGATACCGTTCTATAGGCTCTGGGATTTTCCCCTCTCCCTCCTCACATCCTCTCCTCTTACTGATTTCCCCTATATTTTTACAATAATTCAGTCATAAGTTTATCTTTCTGCCATTTAAGTGTATCCTAACATTGTAGGTATGAACAATGGCAGAGTCCAGCAAAATTTGACACTTTTTAATATTTAGAGAATATCAAGATAACGTACCAAAGTTGACATAGTTTTCTTTTTCCATTTTATTTTGATAAAAGGCCATTCAAAAAGAAGGGCTATATTTCCTGTCTCCACTGGCTCTTCTGGTCTTTGTCCTGGTGCTAACCAAGACCCCTCCCTCTCTCCTCCAGGCATGACAATGCTGTAATGACCACAACGTGTACTCACGGAGGCACCTTGGTGTTGGCGACCATCCTTTTTCAGTGCATGTTATCTGAGTCCAAAAAGACTTCGAAGGAGACACGAAGCTGTATTCGCAGGAGTAATAGAAAACTTTCCCTATTGGAACTGGCAAAAATGCCTGATACTTCTTTTGATCATAGAGAATGCCATGCTTTATTTCTGGAAAATTGCAAAGTCCCACTGTGAAAAATAAAACACAACTGAGGCATTAAATGCTGGTCAATTAGGAAGTCATTAAAGAGCGTTTTAATAATCTTATTGATGACATTTCTTTCATTTAATTAATAACTTTTGGCATACTAATTAATCAGGAACAAGGAAAGAACTCTATTTCAGATACAAGGCTGTTTGGGGAAGCCATTGCCAGTGCAAATGAATACTACACTCTGGAATCATGTGAAAGACGAACCGTGTTAAAGTGTTAGAGACCTTAGGGAAGGGAATCTCACACGGCAAGTTCAGAGCTGAGTGAGCAGCAGTAGCAGACTTCATTGATCTGTGGACTGTGGGATGGAGCGTGTGCTTGCTTCTCATCTCACTTGTTTGATGTGCGGGTGTCTGCACCAGCCATCTGTCTCCTCATTGTTTTCTTGGCAAAAATACTAAACACATGGTTTCATTTTTTTATTTACTAATATGTTTACTTACACAGATTACAAAGTTAATATAATTCCCATGGGGATGATGTATAATAGGAAGAATCATGAAGAATCACTGCATGCAGTAGAATCATACCCGAACCACTCCGTATTTTCAGGAGACCTTGGGGAAAAGATCCTTCACCTGATCACACTCACCCACCTAACCCTGTCAGATAAGCTTTGCACCCCCACCCCATCACAGCACTTATTTTTCACGTATCGAGACCCACACAGTTCTTGCTAGCCAGAACAATTTTGCTGCCATCATCCAGCAATGTTCGATCCATTGTTCATAACTTGCTCTGTAGCATCCATCAAGCAATTACTGAGAACGTAGGCGCTGAATGTTAATTCCTTTTGCTCAACTGTCTATTGCAAAACCAGAGGACAATTTCCCTTGATTCTAAATTCTAATAGAATCTAGTGAACATATTTCTTATGAGAAGTATACACACGTACACACACATTGGTATTCACATGGACACAAACATCGACACAGGCATGTGTAGAAAGACATCTGTACACACACAGACAGACAGCATTGCGACTCATCTGTAGACTCATGTTTCCCTTTCCTCATGAGAAATTGTAAGAGGCAATGAGGCATGGTTGGGATTTTCATTTTGTTTCCTAGCTTCTAGGCTACCATATAAAGCTTACCATACTAGTATTTCTATACTGAAAGCTTGTAGACTTTTCTGTTTCTACGAAAGTGTTACTATTTAGTGCACTGGGCTGTTTGGATAATAACACAGTACACACCAGCAGGGAATGTGCAATGTGCAACTACCTGTCATTTAATGCTGGGACAATTTTTGAACAATGTTTTGCTGAAGCTTCTCCAGGAGATTGAATTTGAACTTTAATATCTTTTAAGGGTTGTCAAAGTTCTGTTATTTCTTATTAACCTGTCTCTGCTATTTCCATATTTGTAAATTACCTTTTAGTATCTCTCTAAGCAATGTTTAAATGACTTCATAAATGCTAGAAACAAAATACTAAAAGATAAAATAATAAGAATTCCTAGGTTTCAGTGAGAGCTTGTGAAGATATAGCCCTAACTGCAGGCTTGTTGAGAATACTCAAGAGTTTTAACTGGACTAACACATCTTTGGATGGAAACTTTGCCAAAGTTGATAACTGTTCACCAATAAGAACTCATTGTTATTACGTGGCATAGGTATGTTGGATGGAGTAGCACATGCCATGTTGGCAACCTGTGGATGCTGGTTCAAGTTCTAGCTTTTCCTCTACCAATTTACTTTCCTAATAACGCTCTGGGAGAGGCAGTTGAAAATAACACAGGTGTTTGAGCTATGGCTACCCACATGGGAGACCCTGATAAAATTCCTGTCTATTGACTGTAGCCTGTTTCAGCCATCTGGGGAGTGAACCAGTGGATGGAAGATTTCTCTCTGTCTCTCCCTCTCTCTGTGGCTCTGACTTTGAAATAACAACAACAACAAAATCTTTAAAAAACAACTACAAGTGAACATATAATGAGCTTCAGGTTCACATTTTTATTTTCCTGATTATAATTTGGGTATTTTTCTTTAAGGGATATCCACATAAAATTTAAGCCATATAAAAATGGACAATCATCTAAAGAGTAAAAAATAATACAATAAATACTCCTGAAATCAAAGTAAGCATCCTGATTGAAAATCCTTTTGCACACATAATTTAATTTTGTGCCCTATATCTTGGTAGGAGTTTTGTCTGTAATTCCTTCAGTGTGATGGCTTCCTTTTCAGCATGGAATATGTTACAGCAGCTTTTCAAATTGTGAGTAAAGTTTGTTAAAGAAGTAATAAAAGCTTTCTTTCATTTTCACCATTTCTTGAAGAGCTCAAAAAATGAAAACCAAAAAAAAAAAAAAGAAAAGAAAAAGAAAAGGGCAGTGCACTGATGACTGATTTGCAAAAATTATGTTTTTTTAAAGATTAATTATTAATTATTTTTTTAAAGATTTGTTTTATTTTTATTGGAAAGGCATATATACAGATTAATTTATTTTTGTTGGACTTGCAGAAAGAAGGAGAGAAAGATCTGCATCTGCTGGGCAGCAACAACTTAGCTAAGTTGATCCAAAGCCATTACCAGAAGCTTCTTATGGGTCTGACATGTAGGCCTAGGGTCTCAGAGTTTTGAGTCATTCTCTATTACTTTCCCAGGCCACAAGCAGGAAGCTGGATGGGAAGTGGAGCACTATGACACAAATGGGCACCCATATGTGATTCTGGTGCTTGAAGGGGGAACATTAGCCAGTTGAGCAATTGTGTGGGGCCCAGCACTTATTATTAAAAAGGCACTTCTTTTTCTTAAATGACACTTAAATTTAAATGGCACATCTCTCATTAAAATCTCAGATTTACAAGGCTTTCAAAATAAAATCTTGCAAACATTTTGTATGTCTAGATATTTGGGATATTCAGAGACATTCCAGGGGTACTCAGAATTATACTCCTGCTTTGTCTTATTACTTTCACTTTCATTATATGTAGATTTTCATATTTGAATTCCTCTCCAAATCCTGTTTTGGGTAGCTTTTTATAGTTTTTCATTTTGCTTTCTTTTCCCATACATGTACATTGGAAACATTTTCCTACAATATAGTTGTGTTATTATCCAATAGTCAAAACATTCTTGGCTATCCATATTCATGCACACAAGCCAACATACACAAAAGCACTCATGTCAAATATATTTGAAAAAGAACCTGAGAAGTCAGAGTTGCTTTTCAACTTACCTTGTCCAACGACAGCAGGAACACCTAGGAGGAGTATGACATTGGCTAAGACAAACATGTTGGAAAATCCTGTCATACGAAGCTTAAACGCTCCTGCAGCAGCGGGGTGGTGTTGCTGGGAATGCTATTTTCATTAGCAGTTTGGATCCTAGCTTTGAATTTCAGTGTCCTACCGGGAAACTGGTTAGGTGAAGTAATTTTGGTAAATATCAAAGTTCACAGAGTGTCACGGGAAATAACGAAATAGTGTCTAACCAATGCCTTTACAGGAGTACCTTGAATATATTCTTGGTATCTGCTTGACCAAATGATATCTGTTCAATTTCCACATTGTGGTCAGTGTCCCTGCATTTGAAGTACTCAAGGCTGGACTCCTTGGAGCTGTGGGGGGAGATCACTTTACCTTCTGCCTTACCAGGAGGTAAGTACTTTGAAAAAGATCCCAGGCACAAACATGAATCCTTCTTATACTTCAATAGCATCAATGCTCTACTAACCAATTTTTTAGAAAAGATTCACTAAGGGTTAGATTCTGTCTTTACAGTTTATACAATTTGGAGATAGTTTAAAATTATGTTAAAACCAATTGGCCAAAATGCTTCCTGGAATTTGGGGACAAATTGGATTTCAAAATGAATTTGTTCACATCAGACTTCAAGATTGCTAATGTGAAGAAATTGCTATCTTTTTTTCCTCCAAAATAAAGTAATATAATCTGAATATCTTCTTATAAAAGTCATTTGTAGTCTTTGGAGTTTGACTAGAGTGCATACTGTTGAGGAGCAGTCCTTCCAAAATTTCTCTGTAAGTCTTGGTGATGGAGAGTGGTAGTTCTCATCAACCACCACCTGCCATTCCAGTTCCTTGGCTCAGAAGTCATGCCCCAAGCAGAGAGGCAGGACACGTGGACTGACATCTCTGTGGCTGAGAGCTGTGTGTGTGTGTGTTTGCTTGGAGTCTTTGAAGGCCAAACCAAATGACATTGTTGAATAAGAGGAGATTAGAGTGGGATGCACGTTAGTGAAGACTAGTATCTCAAAGTCCTACTAGTTGGGCAGACACCAAAGAGGCTGGCCAGTCAGAATTCAGTAGGGAATTTGGGAGTAGGAGACAGCAAGAAAGGGTCCCTTTTGAGATGACACTGACCTGACTAGCTGGGATCCAAAAGCTGATGGACATGCAGCAGGCTGAGTCCAGGTAGACAAACCAGGGAGCCCTGAGCTGGTAGTCCTTCAGTAAAGGTGGGATGGGAATGTCAGTCTTAGTTGAAACACATTTCTCCAGTCACTCACTGACATAATGGTGAAAGGTAAGAAGAATCTCATTGGCTCAAGTTCTGGACAATGATGGGCTGACTACTAAGCTATGATGACTGAGAAAGCACTCCTAGGAAATTCAACTACAAAATGCACACAACAAGCAGAAACTGAGCGATGGCCTCAGATCTCGTGTCCTTTGAAGAGAGAACCTACAGAATTAGTCCAGGTAGGCCACCAAACAAGTAAACAATGTTGTGCAGTGTCAGAAGTCCTTGATCAGGAGGATTCGTAAGTCAGAATTGCTGCAATGTGTAATCTTAGATCTCCAGCATTTTTTAATCAAAAGGAAATTGTGTTTTAATATGGATGTTATGAGACATGGAAAGAAATAAGAAAGATATTCCACACAGTAGACAATAAATAGTCATTAACAGACAATAAAAATTGTCTTTGAAATGAGGCAGATTTGGGAATAAAAACACGAAGGTGTCAAAGCTTATAAATATGTTAGAGCATGGAAAGATACATGAATGATTATAGCTTTGTGAGGTCATAAAAGTTGCTGATGTAGAACTAACCATTCATCATTCTGTGTGTGTGTGTGTGTGTATTTCAAATCATGTTGCATATGATAAATAACTTTATCTGTTAAAAATAAGATTCAAAGGACTTTCACAACAGTGGTTAAGGTATATAATTCAGTAAAATGATGACTAGTCTAAGCAAGAAAAATTTGGAAGTTCCATAGAACTTCTATAGTTCCATAGAACTATCTATAGATAGATAGATATAAAAGTTTTCCTGTAGGAAGTAAGATTTAAATTGTATTCAAAGGAGAAATCAAGCTGCAGTCAAGCATGAAGCATTCAGAGAGAACATGCTGGATTAGACTTGTAATGTAGAAATCTATGTTTTAAAAAATACTCCGTATGCACAGGGGACATTGAAGATTTCCCATGCATGGGACAGTAAATTGAAGCAAGCATGTGTGAAATATAAGTTTGACAAATAGAGAAAGTGTTTAACCAGCTGTATATGTGCCCAAGTGCAACGTTGGAGTACCAGGGTTCAATTCCCAGCTCTGGTTCTTGACTCCAGTTTTCCACTTCTTCAATTATGACAGGCAACAGTGTTGACTCAAGTAATTGGATTCCTATAAGTCACGGGAAGACCTTGATTGAGTTCCTGGATCCCAGCTTTGCCCTGGCACAGTCTCAATAATTCCTGGCGTTTAAGGAAGAGACCAAAGAAAATTCTATTTCTGTGTTTCTCTCTGTCTTTTTGCAAAAGGCAATGCAATAAATATTACAGGAGAAACAAACTGTTAGTAGTCATCAGTTTTGTGTTCCACCATGTGTGTTTTCAGAAGCTTATTAGAGGCATTTTTCTGGTTCAAAGTGTCCTACCTAGACCCATCTTTCCAAACTGTCTGAGAAAGTCACATTAGACATTGACTAGCAGAGGAAAATGCAGCTTCTTGGATACATTCATTTTGGATAATCTTACATGCTTCTACTGACATAAATTGTACATCAGCATATATGTGAAAATTCTACTTATCTATTATTAACTTTCATTAATTAATTAGATTGGTTTAAATCACTTTTATAAACTTATTCTCCCATATTTTAATAGACTATAGTTAATTTTTAGATATTCATTTGTATAATGATCTGTTGATTAGGGATAAGCCTGGATTATTTTAAAGTGAAAATTCTACTGTGCTTGTAGAAATTTTTGATTAATCCTCAGTTTCCTTCATTGAGCATACCAACAACTTTCATAAGAGTTTTATGGTTCTGTTATTTCTAAGTATTAACTATTAGAAGCTTAATAATTCATTGAGCTAACTTTGATATTGGTCTTGCTCCTGGATTTTTTAGTAGGAAAGAATATCTCCATTGATAATAGAGGTGAGGTATTTTTTACTTTCCTACAGAATAAGAAGAACACTTTTGGGCTATTGAGAACAAATCAATGCATAAAATATTTAAAATTAAATAAAGAATGAAGCACTGTAGATATCCATACATCCAGCTTACTGAAAAGGCATGGAAATCCTCCAATTGTTAATCAGTGTAATTCATTTATGTAATCTTGGAACTGTAAGGTTTTCAGACTCTCTTTCACCCTAAGATACAACACACAAAAACAGCCCAAAGCCCTGCATGGTTTAGGTTAAAGTAAGTGTTGACATTCTTAGCGATAATTTTAGATTTGCTTAATTTCTCTGATAATTTTTATCAGTTTTTTTTTTTGCTTGAAACAGACTAAAACTTTCTTGCTTGATCAAGATACAATTATAATTTGTGTACTTACTTGTTAAATTAATATTGTTTGGTAATATCTTCCTTTATTGATGTTCAAGAGTATACTTTGTGTGATGCTAACATAGTCATTCCAGATCACTTCTGTGTTTTCTTTTGATGTCACAATTTTTCAATTTTAACTTCAATCTGCCTTAATATTCATATGAGTATGTGAATGACTTATACAGTCATGTAGGTATATAGAGTGAATTTCTTATAGCAAGTGGATACTAAAATCATTAAAATCCACTTAAAGCAAACATTTTATATAGCAGTTCAAATGTTGGTTGTTGACTACAACCCACATTGGAATGACTGGTGTAAATACCAGCTCTATTTCTCATTTCAGTTTCTTGGCTTTGATAATTGGGTCTCTGCCACCCATATGGAAGAAACAGACTCCAGTTCCTGTATTCTGGTTTGCAATGGCCCAGTCCTGGATGTTCTGGGCATTTAAGAGTGTGAACCAGATGCCAGAGTTCTCTCTGTAGATTATTTTCTCTCTCTGATAATTCTCTCTGCCTTTCACAGTAAAATACATAAAGTATGGCAAAAATAAAACTTTGAAATTTCTGTGGTTTAGTCAGTGTATATCAGATATTAACATTTTGTGTAATAATTGGTATGTTTTTATCACACTTGTTGAAATGATGTAAAATTCAAGAAATTGATATTTTAAATTTTCATTGATACTCATATGGCTCTGAGCTTCCTAGAGTTCTGTGCCATTTTCTTTCACTGCTAAAAATCTTTCCCTTCCACTTGCTCACATTTGAAAGATCCTTCCTTCACAAATTCATTCAACAAGGTGCAACTAGAATTTATTGAGAACGTATCTAAGCAGCCCTTACAAAGTTTATGAAAAAGAGACAATCACCTTTACTTGTACTTTCCTACAAACCACTTAACCCTTTTGCATACTTCCGGTACAACTCCTGTGAATCAAAGTCCCTTTTCTGATGTTGTGAATTTGCACTCATCTTTTAGTGCTTTATTTATCTCATACAGTGTATAATAAGTAATATATCCTGTACAGAAATAAATAGCAGTGGATATATAGATTGTGTATTTAGTTTCATATCTCAAGCAAGTAGTTATATGTGGATCACAACTGTGCATACTTTAACATATTTGAAGGCATTCTATGTAATAGTACACGTTGCTTTAATAGAAATCTTTGAAAGTGGTGAGCAGCTCCACAATGCACACACACACATAGACACACATACACACATATACATACACACATGCACACACACACATAAACATGTACGCACACACAGACACAACACATATACACACATCGGCCTAAAGGTTTCATCCCATAACAAAAGAGCTGTAAGTGAGCATGGTGCTTGCTCTCCTTTCCTTGCCAGCTTCTGCACTACAGCTAGCAATGGATGAACTCTTCAGGGAACATCATGCTACTCAATGCACAGAGACGTTCCTATCTACACAAAGTGTTCTTGCACTAAATGGGTTACTTTTTC